GGCACTATGAATTTTTGTGCATTCTCTACGGCCAAAGAAATCCTGCAGAGAATTTTCAAAGATTCATAGACAACGTATTCAAGGGTCTCAACATTTTGTACGTATGTGATGATGACTGTCAGACAGCGAATACGGACAAAGAATTCCATTTCCAGCATATATGGACCTTATTTTCAGATAACTGCAAAAACATGGAATAACTGTAAATATTCAGAAATTTCATATAGAAACCGATTCCCATGACTTTCTCAGGCATATCATTGACGCTCAAAGTATTTGCTATCTGAAAAACAAAAGTGGCTGATATTCTGGATTACCTAGAACCAACCACATTCAAGCAGTTATGCACGTTTAAAGACCTGTTGAGTTTTTATCGATGATTTATGCCAATCGCTCATTTATCATGAAACACTTAACAGACCAACTTCGTGGAAATGCGAAAATCATCGATTTGAACGACAATGCAAAGAATCATTCTAAACAATAAACGAAATTATCGCAAAAGCAACTATGCTCTCACATCAATACATAAAAGCACCGATTGGTATAGCTGTAGGCACATCCGACTCGTCAATCGAAAGAGTTTTACAACAATGTGTAAACAACACATGACATCTTTCGGCATTTATCTCCAGATAATTGAAAGATAATGAGTCAAGATACAGCACTTCCCGCAGGGAAATCATAGCTATATGTTGTGTTGTATGACACTTTCAACTCTGGAAGATTGATAATTTATCGTTCTTACTGATCACGGACCTCTGATCTCTTCACTCACCTCGTCTTCAGACAAGCACTTCCATGTAGAGTCTCCACAACTGGACTACGTCTCGCAGCGTGCTTCAGACTTTCAACATGTTTGTGGGTAAACGACTTAATTACAGACGCCTAGCCTCGTTTAACTTTATTAAATATTTTCCAAGGAACTGATCCTCTTAAACTCTCCTAGCTTCAAAAAGAAAGCATCGATCTTCGGCACGAGTTATCTTCTACAACTCTGACTCAAGCAAATGGTAAATGGTAATGAAACCTGACTATGTAACACATTTATGGGTGGGGATCCTCCGACCAGGTCGACACGTAACTGACGCAACGTCCTCAACACGTTGCACAAAATTTCTCATCCAAGTGTTCAAGAAACCGTCAAGCTCATAACAGGACAATTTGTTGGCCCAGTATGAATAGAGATGTGATGGAGTGGGCATGCTCTATAGTAGGCTGCCGGAAATCTAAGGTGTACAGACACAACACATGTCCGTTAGACTGTTTCACAGCTCCTGACTCTCATTTCGACCACGTTCATCGTGATTTGGTAGGATCCTTACCGGTTCAGATGGCTACTTTTACATCTCAACGTGTATTGACCGTTTCACATGATGACTAGAGGCAGTATCTATCAAGGACATTACTACTGAAACGGTGGCCCAGGCCTTCTTTGAACGATGGGTAGCAAACTTCGGCTGACTTTCAACTATTTCTACAGACCGTGGACGCCAGTCCGAACCTGGATTCTTTCGTTGTCTTACTACATTATTAAGAATCACACAATTTTAAACGATCACCTACTACCCACAAGCTAACAGATTGGTAGAACGATTTTACAAATAGTTGAATGCTCCACTTTCATCTGCGAACAAATCACGATGGACTGACACTCTTCCAATATTATCACTCGGTATTCGCATTGAATTGAGAGTTGACGTTGGATACACTGGGTCACAACCCGTATACAGAACGACACCGACCTCCAGGAGAATCCATAGATCCTTTATCTTCAATGAATGTGGATTTAAACTGCATATATTAGCAAGCCTACAAATACCATGCGTTCAGTCAAACCTGTTTTAATTCTACTGCAGCCAACTGTTCTCATCCAACCAGCCTAAAGACTTAGTATAATCGTCTTTGTGCATCGCGACTCATCAATATACCCCTTCAAAATGGCATACTAATAACCCTTCAAAGTTCTGTATCAAAATTCTAAATAAATACTAACGGTAAGAACGGGATTAACAATAACATCAGTATTGTCCGTCTCAAAGCCGCTTACTTAAAAGGAAAACAAAATTACGTTGTCATTCCTCCTAAACAATTGAACGATACACACTTAACGATTACTAGGTCATTCCTGATGATTAACGAATACGAAATATTTTATATGATCGTGCAAAGGAAATTGTGTTTTTTTAATACGCTAATATACCTGTATATTATTTTTCGATAAAAAAATCCAAGAAAACGTCAAATTTTTCACGCTGTCGAATGGTATGTGCACACGTTCACCGGTGTTTTCATACATCGTGATTCCTTACAAAAGTACGAGCGTGTTCTGATATCCATTTATATCTTTATTTTTCATTTTCCCAAAAGGATTGGAATAAAAGGAAAAACCGACGAGGAATACGATAAATCAAACCATTCATTTTGTATTGTTATGTTTTGCTAAATGGCTCCTTATATCGGAGAAAGATAACTAGATGCTACAGGACATAGCGAGCTATCAAATAAGTATTTACTATCGGCGACGCCATTTGGTTTAAACTTCTGGATGGTAACGTCTTACGGTCATCAATACTCCATTAGTGGGAGAGAGAACTTTAGTAGTAAATAAATAAGTAGATCTGTAAGTCTTCGACAATTATGATGGACACACCCCAGGAGACTTTCGATCACACATTTGTACCAGATCACCAGTGGGTACGCTGTGCTACGTGATCCCTGCAACCATTAAAAGGATTAGATGATCCAATTCATATTGACTACTTGTGTATTTTCTACAGCCAGTTCACGTTATGAATTTATTATGTACTTTTTGAACTGTATTTGCTTACAATCCTTTCGAAGCGAAAGATATCATAATACTACACAATTAAAAGTGGTTATTATGACCAGTCAATATGTATTATTTCAAACTGAAAGGTTGATAAAATAGGTTATGTACGAACAGTAAACAAGAGAATGTTTGCACTGACCAAAGTAAGAACAGATAATATGAACTATGCTGAAAGTGTAATAATGGCGCAAGAAATAATCCTGATAATTATTCTTTAAAGAGCGAATCCCTACCACTTCTCATAACCTGAAGACGTTCACTTCCCGAACCACTACTAACTGTTCATTTTTATGTTTTTTATTTTGTATAAAAGTACGTTTTCTTATGAGAACCGAATATATATATATATATATATATCGTCTTTTCATACTAATTTGTTTGGGGGCAGTAATCAGGTCTCGTGAACTGTTATTAGTCTCATTGAGAATTTCAAATTACATTTGACTATTCTTATGAGTTGTGAATTTCCATCAGTGCAAAATAACCACAGTTCGAAGACATTCTCAATATGAAATTGGGACATGACATCGGTCAACCATAATAACAAGAAATGACATTCTGAATAGGTTTGTCAATAACCTGACAAACTGAACCTATTTAGTACAAATCTCATTGGAGTAGAAATTTCTCATTACCTACTTTTCGACTCTACATTCAAGTCTTACAGTCTACTAACCAACATTCTCTAACATCAATATTTCATAACTGTGAACTCAGAAAAGTGGTAATCCATTGTGCAATGTTTCATTGATCGATGTTTCCAATACTGTAAGTGTAAGCTCGGCAAGTTTCAACTAACCAATCTAATGACACCACAGAAAATGTTCAACTAATGCTGACGCAACAGTTGTCGATTTTTCCCAGTGATACTATTCAAATTAGATTTAACGAGGAGATTTTTCATGAATAATTTTCTTCACTCGTAAGTGAACATCTTTATTCGGTCAAAACATTGACTTACCGAGTAAGTACTACACAAACAAAATTATGCAAACACTTCTAAAAGCCATTAAACTGTGCGACTAGTCAGTCTGTGTGCATTCGAAATAATAAAGTGAATTCATCATAGTCTGGTCATTGAGGCTTTCAACTATCGCCTCGTTGAAATTCAGAACTGGATTTCCAGTGACATAAACACTACAGCCATTTTAAAATATTACTTGGATTCAGTAACTCATTCGTTCTTTTAAAAAAGACGCTCAATTCCAGCTTCAATGTCGTGTGGCGGACACACCCACTTGACCAGCCCGAAGTCAGACCAAACATACATCGCCGATTACACTACCAATCATAATATAACTATTCGAAAGGAAAATTGTGTTCTATTAAAGTTTATTGATTTCCTAATTCATTTTGTAGATTCCAGTTTCACGTCTCACATATAACTAGATAAACTCCATTGATTTACGCATCATTTAGAATATTTTCGTTTTCGTATTCACATCATGGATACCATTCAATCTGACTGAAAATATTGTTTACTCATAGCAAACATCTACGCTATGCAAGTCCATTCTTCTTTGAAATAATGCTTCAAAGTAGAAAAATCATATGAGAGTCAAATACATTATTTTCAATCAAACTACTAATTAACTTATACTGATACAAATAATTAATTATCATCACTTCCAATCTTAGCACACTTTTCATATCTATGTAAGAGTCTGTGTATTTCTATTGACCTCATTAAAAATTAAGTTGGTCTATAAGAATTAATTGAACAATTATTAACATATCAACTGATTGCTAAATCAATCCAAACTCCTTACAGGGTAATTGATTCACTGTCATAATCTCTGTTTTAATTAGTATAGAACACTGTAGAAGAACCTTATTCATTATACACTTTAAACAATTATTAATGCAACAAAGAATTCACGAGAAATAAGCACCATTCAAACAATCCGAACCCAGGACCTACTGGTTTCGCGCGCGAGCACTTAACCAATAGACCACTGAGCCGGCATCCAACGGCGTTAATGTCTACCTTCAACCAATCCACGAAGTTGCACCACCGTATACCATTGTCTTCAGTGAGCTGATATCTCACAACAGACCTGGTTGAACTCCACTGGTAACGGCTTCCCACTAGAACTCCAATTAATGTTTCAAATGTCACACTGTCATAATCTCTGTTTTAATTAGTATAGAACACTGTAGAAGAACCTCATTCATAATACTCTTTATACAAGTATTAATACAACAAAGAATTCACGAGAAATAAGCACCATTCAAACAATTAACTACGACAAATTATTAAATATCAAAAAATCAATAATCAGTTAATATTGTGATATCATCTAATATTCTTACATCGATAACTGTCAATCTAAACTCCGCTCATCTCAACATAATACAACAACACCAATCTATTCATTATTCATTTTCATCATACTAAATTCTCATGTAATAAACACAACCACACCGCTTACAATTAATCACCAATCTCATTTAACTATATCATCTCACTCACATCAAACATCAGTCCACCTTCAACAACTATCCCAACATCACAGTCAGTATTCCTCAAAGAAACAATCTAATCAATCAAAAGTCAGTCACATAAACACACGCTGAACACTTGAAAGTGTCCACAAAGTAATCAACAAAAGATAAATAAGTACTCGATAAAATAAAAATGCAGCAAAACAAAAGAAAAAACAAGGTTTCTGATCACAATTCTTCCACACTCGAACCACAATGGGTAACACGGCCATGCCCGTCTGTTTATCCATAATATATGTGAGTGTGAGAGTGTACGTGTTTGTGTCCATATATAAATGCATGTATGTATGTGTGTATGCATGCTTTAGCACCCTATGTGTACAATTACATAGTTGGATAGTTGTATATGCACGCATTATATACAAACACATAGGAACTCGATACAACAAACAACATACATACATAGTTAGATAGAAAGATCGAGTCAAAGCAAGGGAACGATGCGTACATTCATACAGAGGTCAACTAAGACTTCTCATTCCGCTCAGTCAATGCACTGTTCAACAAATTCCAATAAACGACGACCGTAGAATTCCGGTTTTACAGAACCACCATCAGCACCATGTTTCACTGTTTTGTAAGTTTGCGCTGTACGTTTACGCATCCCATAACGGGTTAGTATGTCGATAATAGCCACAAAATAGATCAGTGGATGAGGAGAATCTGTCAAACAACAAGGAAAACAGGATAACACAGCAATATAATCCATATGAGGAGCAACGTATTTCATCAATATATATATATATATATATATATATAGTATATATCAAAAATCTTTACTATTGAAACAATGTCTGCCGTTCACGCACTTCACTCAAACATCAGTCATTCAAACGACTTCCTTTCGATGCAACTTCATAAACCTACATCTTGAATGACGTGTACCGTGTGCATGTGTACATTTATTCAACAACAAACTATTATGACAAACACAAATATCAGAGAACAATCGGATGAATACACACGGCAAAATATTGAATAGTCTACATCTAGAATCTCCTCGTGTCTACCTATTATACTGGACATTAAGGAGTGCACGAAATAGTCTCCATGCTGCTCCTGTCTCATCTGTTCCCCTTTTACAACATTAACCGACCATAACTAATACCTCAATGCGATGGCCGTGTTTCCTTAGTGTGATGACCCAATCGAACTGTGTTGGTTCGGACAAGTGTTCCACTACCACTCACTCCCCTATTCCGCACAGGTCGGATGCAACGTCATTAAATTTATCAAGCTAATAAAAACATCCGTCGATTTCTACCGTACACCAGACTGATCCAGTCACTCTCACTGAAAATGTTCACACTTCACTCATAGGTTTTGTAGAAACGAGAATTAATGCTCCACACACACACACACACAAACTTTAAACATCATGTATTTCATTGAAAAAATACAAACACAAAATATCCTCTTACCAATTGAACTTTTGATTCCATAATGTTCCAAAGTAGGATGCAATTCACCTGAGAATAATTGAGGTAGACATTCTGCACCAGGTGGACTATCCGGTGGGGTCAATTCACCTGAAACGAACAACACAGAGAATGTATACAAAGAAAACCAAACCAACTAATGAACTGCATCTTCGTCTATCTTCAAGTCTTTACATACAATTCTCATACAATCAAGCAAACATTAGTCCATCCGCGCGATGCGCAATACGATCAACCATTCATGGATACACAGTACATCACCGCACATGCATGCATTCATATCAATCCGACTCGCCACATCTCAACTCTCATCAGCATTGTCAAAATGGAAGTAAACAAGATGAGCAACAGACAAACGGAACTACAAGTATTTTCATAAACAAGCAAACGGATCACCGAGATCCCGATATTAAGATCGACTTTTAGTCGCGTCACTTCAACATCTTCAGTCGCACAATATGATCACTCAGCTGGTCACAAAGATGAATGGCCCGGTGAGAGGAAACTCTGGTCCTAGGTTTCATGTTTTGTAACACTCATTAACAATGTGTACCTGATGGATCGATGACGTGCCATGTAGCTTTACAGTCTGAAATGTTACTAATGAGTTAATCGGTGGGTGACTGACATCCTATTAGACTGAAATAATTTTAATCGCTTGGTCACTTCCCAAGAATTAATTGACTGTGTAATGCACTATGTACATAACCTCCTCCTCTTTCAGTAGATACTGCCATGCCACAATGGTTGGAGACTCTTGGTGACATGGCTCAGAATCGATCACAATGGCGTCGGTGTATACACTCCCTGTCTTCCCTTAAACTAAGAGATTAAAATCGCTTCATATCTTTCTTTCTACGAACCAATTATTTCTTCTTGTACTATATCTCCATATGCAATCTTTCTCTTATATATTACCACCTTTGACCCAACCACTGCTATGAATCCGGTGTTCATCTTGTTGTACTGATGCGGTATGGCAACCTGGACCGATGCACATATGTGCCTGGTCCTACGTTGTAGCTGACTGACTGACTGAGTCTATCTATCCATCTACCTTTCTACGTACCTTTCTTCCAATGTCAGGCATCGTTGTACGCACTGGATACACTTAGTTTGACATCAACGCCACTTGAAATCATCAAAAGTAGAACAACATACAAATTACCGCACGAATAATACATCAACGCACAACACATCCAGGTCATCATACATGCACAACTACACACGCACACTGACAGGATGGAAGGTGAGAGAACCACCGAGTCATTCCACTTCAGTTGGAAGGAAATACCTCATAAGCATTGTCTATTTGGAGTGATTAGACAAATTCAGTGGAAAACATTACCAAACAACGTCTTTCACCAGGAGAGATATGCACACACCCATTCCAAAATAATAATATAATAAATAAAAAAACAATTACCACTTCACAATAGTAATAACATCTCACTGCAATCAGTCTTAAAATGAATTCTCATCAAATGTACGTATACACGTGTGCAGCATTGTTTATTCAATCATGCACCCATCACAATAAACACACACACACTCAGGAAAATCAGCTGACAACTTCACCGTTTGCAATCAACTCATTGTACAATTCGCATGAACATATAATGTCATTTGTGCTTGATCAACATCAACCTTATTCACACAACTCCGCATTCAACAACACAAATCAGTCACACAATCAGTCAGTCGATGAAATCCAATTACAATTATAATGTTAATTAATGCTAAGACAGAGTAGTCAGTCGAATTGAACTCTCTAACAACAAATGGAATAACACAAGAATAACAATATCACACATACTTGTAGGGACTTGTGTATTGTTCTCTGGTATACTGATACCGTCCTCCTCTTCATCGTCATCATCACCTGTGCTCGCATTCCCAGTACCAACACCACAACTAGCAGCCTCGGCAGCTGCTGACGAGCTCAGACCAAGCACAATACTCGATCTAGCCATCGACAAACGACCACATTGCCATTGTGAGCTAAGTGTTCCAAGACCGTCACCTGCAGACACCATCCTGTCATCGAAGCCTCGACTGTTAGGCTCCAACACACCACCACCAGTCCCTTCACCGTCATCACCAGCATCCTCAATTGAATTAGCCAATGCAATCTCGGGATTATGCACTCCAATAAGAAGGCTGTAGTCGATCAAATTGTTCTCCTGTAAGAACTGTCATGAGGCAAAAAAAGAAACAAACAAACACAATCACAACATTGTGCATCACTAAGTAATCCAATACATCCATGTCGAATGTCTACAAACCACAAACCAGAGGGACACATCAACGATCAAATGCACATCATGTCAATTCATTCACTCAATACATTGATTACCAATTCAACCAATTCCTATTCAGTATGATACAAGTCAGTCGTTCGACACTCGTTACTGAGATATCATTTCATAATATACACTGCACTAATGATATAACACTGATCACTGTTCATATACTATCGTTGCTCATTCATATTTCGAGTAATAATCAAAAATCACAGTTAGTTACCAAAGCAAGATTATGGAAAAACTGTTTATTAATAACTCAATGATAAACTACTGTCAATTTATTATCAGAACACATAGTTCGGTCTCCATCTTTACCTACTACCATATTCTTAACACAGGAATCACTTACTCGGTCCTCCCAAAATACACCAGCAATGTTTCCAAGACGCCTACAACCAAATACTAGGAACCTAAGAATACCCTCTATTCTTAATGGTCGTATTTCACGACCGTAAGGTCTCCAACTCCCCTAGGTAGATCCTTCATAACCACCAACCAGGTTAGGGCGCCGGACATTCGCCTTTCGTCCTCTCAACTTCGTAAATAACACCCGCACCACGAGAAAGCAGTGTGTAGCACTTCCCTGGTTCTGGTTGTAACACGTGGCCATGTGAGAGCGTTTCGAGAGGAAGAGTGGATTCTCCCCACTCTCGGTTGTACCAGCACATTTCGGGACGTCTCCATAGGTGACGTATGCTGGTAAAAACCAAACAAGCTTCTTCAATACGTGAAAAGATTTAGTCAGACACCAACATATTGGGGCTGATCAGACTTTGAAGATAATTAAAGTTTTCGACAACTTCACTCCCTATCCTTAGTTCAAGTGTTGAAACAGGTCAGACCTGAGAAGCAACAATTTCCATCGCAAGTAGAAGAAACACATCCTAAACATCCAGGCATTGTTACTCAGTGCTACCAAAACACTATGCATTTCATCAGCGTCTTCGTTAAACAGGACTATGTCATCTGTGTATTTTAAGTCGAAAAGTGGACCTCGTAGTAGGAGATCAATGCCCGAAAATCCAGTCGATGAGAGCGTTATTTCCATCAGTAGCTCTATGACAAGGTTGGACACAAATGGAGATAGTGGACAGACTTGACGGACACCATTTGACGTTGCGAAGTCAGATAACAGTTTGTCACAAGCTCTGACTCGACTGATAGTGTTCGAGTAAAGAGCTTTCTCAAGGTTTTGTACTTCTGAGGTACGTCTTTCAATGACAGACACTGCCACACAATCTCCCGGTCTACAGAATCAAATGCCACATTTAAGTCCAGAAAGACCAGCATTCCCAGACGCCGATAAGCATGTTTGTATTCTAAAAAACCCGACGAATGGTGAATATGTGGTCGATACACCCACGACCAGGTCTCAAACCAATCTGCTTTTCTCGTGTTTGCACGTCACGAGTATTTGTTAGGAGCCCGATAATTACTGACGCTAGCATTTTAGATGCTATTCAGTTGAGTTTTAAACAGGTTCACATTACAACACAGAAAACCAACGTAGCACAGCCGTTATTAGCAACGTTCTAGATATCCACGTGTAACAAGGTGTATCAGAATATGTTGCACCGATCTCATGCAAATTACACACACACACACAAATGGTAGGAGACACTCAGGATGAAATCAATTCTAATATTAATTGGACGATTCCGATTACCTCCCGTTGTGATGCATCGTACACCTCTCTACTAAAACAGATGTTAACCACTGCACATAACTGAACAGATTGTGGCAACACACATATTGGTATTCATGATAGTAATAATAGTAATGGTTGTGAAATCTCAGATGATCAATGAGTGCAATCGAAAGTGTTACACAGCATAACAAACACGATTTAGAACTAAATAAAATATCTAGACACCTTAACTGTTTCACGACGCAGCATACGACATACAAATATCTAGATCACATTAAAAGTAAATTACAACGGTACAACAACACTGAACACAATGTAGATATGCGCTATTCACAAATTCAATAATTCATACGTTAGTAATGAAGATTGAAAGTGTAGGTGTAGACAGTTGTAACACATCACACCATGTGCTACAACAAAATAGTACTCCTAGTAGGGTTACCACGTCACATGTTTCCTTCATGTGATGCGTGCAGATCAGCATAGAAATTGCGGAAACACAAACAACCACAACAATACGAAGCAGAGAAGCGAACTTTTCAAGGTCTCGCTGAAATCATATTGATGAAACTATGTACACTTCATTAGCGAAAAGAAGTGAAAAAAGACAGAGTAGAAAATAAAATGTCAGGTTCATTCTCATCTTTCGATGTAATAAAAAGAACAACAGAATGATAAGAGCAAACTAATCGATAATTAGAAGACACAAAAAAGATATGAGGAACTCAAAAGCTCACATTTTCAGAAAGAGTCAAACAGTAGATGCACCTGGGCACCACAAACCATTTCCAGCCATGTCATTCAAAGTATATGACCATTCGTTACAATAACCATACGGACCCTAACCAGCTAGTCTACACAATTCACATGGCTCAGTCCAATTGTTAACAACTTCATGGACTGATGCCATGTTTCGGTTTGTCGACTTCTAACTTTCTTCCATACTATTCCTACACCACACAATATCGTCCGTTGAGATCGGTGGTGGTTGAACACACGTAACACATGTCCCAACCACCCCAGACGATGAAGACAGCTAACGCAAAGTTCGGTCTCCACTTTTACCTACTACCATATTCTTAACACAGGAATCACTTACTCGGTCCTCCCAAAATACACCAGCAATGCTTCCAAGACACCGACAACCAAATGCTAGGAACCTAAGAATACCCTCTATGCTTTAATGGTCGGGTGCCTTGAACAACCATTAACGCTAACATTTTGGACACTACATTAGTTAAACCGGTTCCTTTGTGATTGTCACAAGTAAAACAAAGGCCAGTTGAACTGTTCCCTAAAGTGTTCCGTCAACCGATCCAATCTCCTGCACTGAGAATCAATAGTAATCCCAGCTTTTACCGGCCTAGTCACACTAATAGAAGGATTTTTAATACACACATCCTTGATAAGTCTGAACAGTTATCTACTGTTACCTATCGACGATGCCTTTTTCATCTCTTAGGCTTTCACTACTCACTCACCACTGCTCATAATCATACTCAATATGCACAGTGAATGGGAACATGCTCACGAGATTTGCATACACTGACACAAAATTCTCACCTCTTCTACTGCATTAAGTGATATGAAATCTACTAAGCAAATCTCCTCAGGGTTATGTACGAAGTCAATGGTTTGTCTGACGGCCAAATGTTTTACAAACGACAAATATCACCATACTATGGATTATTAATAACACATAACGATAAGCAGCATACTGTACTCTCGAATCACAATAACTGTAAACATATTCAATAGGAAACTCCCTTCAAACAACACTAAAGAAGAAAATGTCATAATTATAACATAATAAAATCAACTAGTCACATGAAAGTGAGGGGAGTAATTATGATTATGATTATGACGAAGATTAGAGTGGTGATGAAGATGGCACAGTCGATTGTAGGAAAGTGCATCCAAGTGTGGAATTCATTGTCAAGAACAAAGTAAAACATATTCTCAACATCTGTGAAATTTCGATTCTTTCTTAAGTACCGATGACATGACTACTTCAAGAGTACACAAGCACTACATGTGATCTTGTCTTATTGAAAGTAACCATTTAAATGTGAAACTGTCACACCACTACCAATCACAAACTCTACACACTTCCCAACAGAATACGAACACACAGTCAGTCAGTGTTCCTATTCATTCACTTCACAATTACGACTCAGTTCCAACTGGCAGTATACACAGAATATAACTGCAAGACATCTTCGAAAATCTGTCACATACTTGAAAAGTCAATGTACACAAAACCGACAACATAATGGTAAAACAAATGCATCATGCACTCAGCCAATCAATCAATCAGTGAAGCAAACAAGCAAGCAAGCACCTACTTGTATATCACATTCCAGAGTACTCAACATCTTCTTTTTAGACTCTTCACCAATATGCATTTTGCACAAATCTGTTAGAAAATCTGCATCTTTCAGAGTTGGCAAGGGCTTCGACTATACAAATAGTAAAAACACAGAACAATTAATACACAGTGAAGTGAAACAAGTCAACGTATGAGTGATTCACACTTACTTCGATCATTTAGTCTTGGTAGTCAATGTGATTACGCACACAAACGATTGATGTAGCTACTTCACTTATTACTCTCCCGATCAAACAAAACTTTTCGTAACTTCATAATGAAAACCTACCCAACTTGCAAACATCGGTAACTCACACGCATCCCAGTGATTCATGTCAAACCAGACTACAACTCTTTCATAGTTGACAATATGCGAAAATATTTAAGACTGAAATGACGACAGTCAATTAAAGTTGAGAAAACTCCAACACTATGCTAAGTAATGTCTGATATGACTACAGGGAACATTCACACTTACAGTAGAGAAGCCTTCTGAGCAAGACACATCTCGTCTTCAATAGATGTCAACATATTCAGTCAATATCGACATCTCCACAGATTACTCAGTCGGTATCAATACAACTTTCCAGAGGTTCTTCGAGCAACAAAGTCAAACCAATTCGAGATTCTACAAGGACCGATTGACATTAAATAATTATAATAGAGTACACACAATATCATCGCTAAGAAGTCTCTCCTCTCGGCAAAACGATTAAGAGGAAAAAATTCGCAATTCCACATCAAGTGAAGGGACTGCATTTCCTCTCTGTCGTCTACAACAACAAACGACAACTCAGTCACCTCAATTGTCCTCTCTTCGAAAACACATCGCAATCTGCTGTTCACTACCTTTACACAATGCTCATCACACCAAAATATTTACCACTTTCAATAATGGTACCAAAACAGGATACATTCTATGCTCTATTATACAAATTCAACTATTAGATTTTACTGGTAATTTGCACATTTCTACTTTGTTTACACTCAATCTCTGAACAAAATAATTGGTATCACAAAAATAAAAACAAAAAAAACAAAATTAAATCCAATACACATGATAATCATTCACAATGGTGATAGATTAAAAGAATCAGGGGGAGAGACAATACTAATATTTTTATTTAAATGCACAAATCCAAACACAAGAGCACCTTGAAATGAAGCGACACAAGGAGGGAGACAATGGCGCTAAGGAGGAAACAGGTGGTGCACAAATGTTACAAAGTACACAAGAACAACAACAACAGCAACATAATACGTTGTTTAACTATAGTCAGAGAAAGATGTACACAACAATACGGCATGTACAGTGAAAGCATGATATTATGCACAACAATCATATATTCACACGAAGCTTTGTACAATGAAAATGCAGCACAGCAAATATCGTTGTTGTAAGTAGGAGATAAATAAATTCAATGTACTTATGACCATTGTGGCAGTAATACCAACAGTTGGCAGATAAGACTACTACTACTACTACTACAAGCTAACATGATGATAGCGATGATAATTACTGCCAATCATAAATTGAAACTATTTGTCACCCATTTTATACAACTGGCTCAACTGAATTTATCTAACAAGAGTAACAAGAAATGTAATCGATCAGTTGAATGAGTGGCAAAATCATCAGACAGTAGCCACACACAACAACCTTAGATAACAGATAGTGTTTATGGCTGACGAGTCATCATTGAACAAATTGTCTTTGCTTCATAACAGACATCGACGCGATTCTGTATTTCACTTTCGTGTAAATAGTAAATTAGTGGTTGGTTTGAGCCTCTAAACAGACGGTCTAGTAAGAGCTCACACGACTACGTTAACATGATCCCGTTTATATCACGATAAATTTGAGTAGGGAAATTCTTATACTAACCATCTTTTCCTCACCTACACTTTACCACTCGTTAGTTTTTCAATCAACCATGACTGTGTCTACCGAATCTGAACTGTACCGACTAAATATCTGGCTTACTAGTCCACAAGATAATGCCATCTTCCAACTAAACCCACTGCATTCTCGACAGTCGGACAGTACCCTTAGGTAATACTCAAGATGCATGACCATAGTGTCTTACTGAAACATGGATGTAATCAATCAGATGAATTCCCATTAATTATCAGTGGTTCTCTTTTAATTCTGACTTTTATTTCCTACGCATAAATCTATACTTGTATGTAGACTTATGACACTAACCATGCAACAATTATAGAACATTATGAATTTTAAACTCTGTAACAATTTGAAGGAATGTTTCATGTCCTTAACAAAGTCACACATACATATAAACACATTCATAGAAAATATTCTATCTGTACAAACTCATTTCACATCATACTAATTTTAGTTATTACACATTCAATTGTCATTGGTCAATATGAATAAGACCTAGTACCACGCAATCAATAATTCTAGAATGTACTGACTATACAGCAAACACTAAAGATTAACTACGCAACAGACCGTAGACATCTTGCATCATCATTTCATTGCTCAATGTCTTCATCTTAGAAATAATCCACAACACCATGCAGCACATAGATAAAACCTCGTCTTCTATAAGGTCAATTTTGGTTCAGAAAATGACTACCTTACATTCAATCCCGAGAATGACACGTGATAATAGAAAAGCTATTGATAACAACACCCCGAACAATTTTTAACCAAATATTCAGTCAGTAGACTTCCAGCAATCTGCAAATAGGAATCACATACAATCTCTTCATTGTACAGTACTACACTCTGTCAGACACAGGCTCCGACATCATAAGCTATTTTCTTGCTGAATAAAACTTCAAGACCTATAACATGCAAAGTAATGTCACATTCCAAGAAACATATTTTCACATACATTTAACAATATAATCTGATAATGAATAATTTCGAATTGTACAATTACATCGTATTGGAGAAGGTGAATGTCAATTGGTTAATGATAATAGACAGTCAGACAGAAACATCCGTACTGCAATATACACATTTCCCAGTCTGTGTATTCGTCATTATATATAATTTGCTCGCGTCTAAACAGTGTTTCTGATCGGCTTTTGGATGCAGTGTGAGTAAGTAGTTATGTGGCTAGGTTTATAGTGCCAAGCGAATGAGACACCATCAACACTTAAGAAAACATTATTTCCTGTGGTAATTACCATAATACAAATTTACCCACTAATACTCATAAACAAGTTGTCCAAGTATTATTTAATACTTGAAATCCATAAGATATGGTCCTTGGTAGCATAGCATATCGATTAAGCCAACCACCACCACAACTATGTGTACACTATACTTACCGGGTAGAATAGATAAAAACAACGTGTTTTCATGACACCATGTCTAGAAATTTATCACAGCAAACATTCAACTACAACGCGTAGACATGTGTTTCAGATGTCTCGTGCTGACAACCACATAACAACAGAGAAAGCAAGTAATCACAAATCTGCCTAGCACACTGAAAACAAATGCACAAACACATTCCATGCAAACACGGAAATTGACTGATATCACAGTGAAAAAGATCATGAACACAACGATGATAATGACGAAGAGAAAGAAAATGATGTGAGCTCACCTTCTCCTTTTCGTTGGCTTCACGATCCACAGCTGAGCCCTAATTACGAGGATAAGGATACAGTGTATGGACGACTAACTCAACAAGTTTTTGGGTAACACTAGGCAAAACGACACACGTTAGATGATGAGCACAGTCCAAAAACAATAGTCGACACAGATGGATGATTACCACTACTGTTGTGTCGCGATAAGAATAATGAGTGGTAGTTTTTTGGGATCTATTTGTGGACCAATACTATACGTATATTTTTATCGTACGATGTGGTCTGCTTGACCGGTATATAAACAGAGTATGTTTGAAATACATGATTCATATTGCAGAGGCTGAGATTGGCGTTCTGGACTTAACTGGCCGGGCTAGGCGGAAAGTATGAACAATCAGAACTCTAGGCTGCTCGCGCGTGTTTTACGCATCCTTGATCCGATCGATAATTCGCTGCTTCTGATTGGCGGCTTTGGGCTATAACAACTACAGAGACAAAAACAGTAGTTAGCACCTACGTTCATGAGAAGTTACGTACGAATCCAACTAATTATGTTGATGGAGTTTTGTTCTCTGAGTTGGATGGTTTGATCGTGGAGCTTTCATCGTTCTTCTAAACGACATCATCAGCACAAATTTCAGAGAGCAAAACTCCATCAAAATCATCCACCTGAGCTACAAAGCTCCTCCACTATCTCAAAACTAATTATTACTTCAAAGTTTTCACCAAAAGCAGAATTATCTAAACAAGGAAGGTAACCGTGCGAAAATACTATTGATAGGTCTCCATTTAAAACGCATCTGTGACTGTTTGCCAGAATATTCAAATAAGCAAACCATATGGAAATATGAAAGTTGTTTCAACAATGCGTCCAATGCACCTCTAACGAGTACAAAGTGTCTATCTGTATGTTTGTCTCGAAGTCAAACTCACTGTATGACAGTAAAACTAACATCTGGATAGCACAGCCAACGTGGGACAGGATTCATAATTGAGATCCAATGGTTGGATGCCAAACAGAAAACCCGTTGCGCACAAGTTTAACCAATATCTTCACAACTGTGATCACTTTTCAGAACTCGGTCAGCTAGGCTCGCAGCCAAAAAGTGGTTTGAAGTGTCAAGTGTTAAATATTTAGAAACAGCAACACACTTAGTCAAGGTGATTCCGTATGAGACAACACTGTGTTTATTTATGTGTATGATGGTGGGTATATAAAATGTGTAATTTGTACTATGAAGGAGTAGAGTTAGTATTTCAGCTGTATGTGTGTAGATGGCGTGCAAAATGGATAGAGTTAAATGTGGTTGTTTGGAGAAACATTCCAGGCTGGATGCATGGTCAAGCCTCTTTTCCTATTGAGGGAAGAGGGACTTAGCATCATATGCAGTGTTTCAACTGCTCTCTTCTTTCTAGCTGGAAGAACCTTTCTACATTATCTTGACATTTTCAATATATCGATTTGGTGATTATTAGAAATAACATGTACTGCTATCCACTATATAATTTCCACGTTCTTTATCCCTACGGGATTATTATGTCTTTTGTGTGGCTTAGGTGTTCCTTGATAAGAGTCAAGATCTGACAAGAAGACTCTCCAATATAGAACGCATCACATCAACACAACACAATCTGTACACACGATCTTGTCTAGATGTAAACGGGGTCTCATCTTTCATTCCAATTTAAGAGTTTCGTGGAGTATTGGTTGTTGTTTTTTCTTCTTCATAGAAAGCTTCGATTCTGTGTTTTCAAGATCATTCGTAATTCTCCAATCGCACCTTGGCGATAAGGCAAATACACAGTACCAATAAAAAATCTTCCATTAAAACAGTCATTTATAGATGGATAATTTCGATTTAATATATTTTTAATAGTATTTATAGGACAATTGTCAGATCGTAAGTTGTTGATTATGTTGTCTTTTCCCTCCACCTTGCCCTTCATGTATATAGTTAGATTTAGATTTCCACTAGGATTTCTTTTAACGAAACAGTCTAAGAACAGTAATTCGCTATGTTCATCTTCCTTTTCGAATGTAAATTTGATGTTTGCTGAGAACGAATTTATCAGTTCAAAGAAATTTCTCAGGGGAATTCTCAATGACGACAAATGTGTCATCTATATGTCTGAGCCTGATGCGTGGTCTGATGGTAATGGCAAAAGTAACCGACTAAATATGGAACATAAATAAATTAGCAACAATCCAAGATACTGAAGATCCTATGGCCACTCCACTTGTTTGTTTATTTAAAGTCTCACTGAAAGTCAGCAGAGTTGAATTCAAACATAGTTTGGAGGATTTCATGATTGAACTAGTGTTTAACGAACATCACAAAAGCATGATTATTTTATCATTATATTCTACGCCTGTTCTTTATCGACTGATAATTGTTCAACATGTGAATATATACAAATAATGGAAAATACTTGTCACTAGATTTACGTATATTCAAACTGGAATCTATGAGCTCTACACTTTATTTGGAAAACACTCCAATCTCCACCTACACATTGTCTCATCAGTAATACCGCAAATTTATATCGTATTATATAGAAATTATACTCATTAACTCAACAGACTTTATCACCAGTGATAAGTGAACAGGCACACAAACACTCAGAGTTCTCAATTACTTACATGATAAAGTTAAAATTACATAATTAACTATGAAACAGGGGTCCGAAAACATAACAGGATTTATGCCGTTTTGTCACTTGACAATTGCTAACCTATTTACAACCTATCTAGCTTAATTGTCTAGTCAGTCAGTTCATTGGTTAGTCTGTTAGTTGCTTAATTTATTCGCTCCTCTATGTATGACTGGTATACTCACCGAATAAAATAAACGAACAGAAACAACCACTTGTTAGGCGTTAACAGAATCATAAAACACTCTTGAAACGTTGTAAGTGTGCACAAATAGAAAATAAAGCGTTAGAAGTGTCAACATTTCGTCCTTGTCCTGTGTAACAATCACAAGGAAAATAAATACGCTCACTAAAAAAGAATGTTAGTGGTCAGTAACTGATACGTTATTCACTAATTCAAACACACTGAAGAATTTCAAGTGTATGTGAGGGATAACTTCGGAATCTACAGGACACTGACAACTAAACTGCCTTTCCTATTCCGCTACACACCCAATCACGAACACAAACGCAATCAGTCGAACGCATACACAAGGATTTTGGTTAGTTCAGTGTGAGTAGCAATAAAAAGCTACGCATAAGAGAGCAACACACTTCACACCATCAGGGTATTAGAAAGGAAACAAATCAAACGGTGAGTAGGTTGATGCATGTGTAAAGTTACAATAACATGACATACACCTGTGGTACTTTGAAACGAATGCTTTTTAATCCGTAGACGACGTTTATGCTCCTTGTTTAAAACTGTCACAGGATTGTCAATGTTGATCTTGGAACTCGACAATTCAGTCGACCCATGAGCGACGAAGGAATGAATACTTACAGAACGTTTCACATGATGACTTGAATACAGAATATTCTACAGGTGAAAATGTGGAAAGCACACAAAGACAAATAACTCTGCACCTATTAGAGTAAACTACACAAAGTCATACATCCATCCTCAAAAGTCACTATGTCAAACTTACTCATTCACATTTAAAAATTCATACACACAAAATCAACCACAACTAACTAATAATCAACAGATCGTTACCTTCAAATCATATTTCTTGTGAATCGCAAGTCTTGGGCTGAACACATTCCTCATTACTAATATATACGACTCCTGATCATTCACTGTAAGTCGATAAAGTCCAAGAAATTGAGGAAGCAGTGTTTGGCCGTGTCCTTTGACAATGTACTACAAGAAAGAGAGACACATTAAAAGATAACAATCAATCAGGCGGCATGTCAATAACAAACGATAATCGAAATTCGAACCACACTGAGAGCAACACCAGTTCAACATTTAATTGTTCGGCATTCTGACATTACTGCAAAAGCAAGTTTCTTTTTCGATGCACACTGGAACCATCTGGTTGCTACAACCAAATGACAGTAGCGTTTTGTGATGAATTACGAGCAACATTTACTGACAGCCTTTACATTGCATCAGATACAACAATGCACATGACACAAGAGCTTATGGTTACGTCATGAAAACAAAATCTAACTCATGAATCTAACAAACCATTCTACCTATTCAACATTATGTACCGTTAATTTACTCATCAAATTAAACTACACCGACACATCCTGGAGGTAAATATGAAAATGTTTCGCTCTGAGTGTAACGACTCAAACAAATGCACATCTGTGTCAGCTTTTACGTTGTGTATAACTGAATAACTGACTCGCCTGTTAAATGTTTGACCTCTCCGTCAATAAGATTAGTAGATTGTCTAGAAGTGCGATAAGTACAAGCATAAGCGCCCGAACGCCCTGGTACGACCGAGGGTAGGGAGAGTTAGCTATACCTCTCAAAACTCTCTCACATGGCAACGTGCATACAACCACTACCAGGGAATTCATACTCACTGCATTCTCGTGGCGCGGGTGTTATTTAATAAATCGAGAAGATGAAAAGCGAATGTCTGGCGCCTGAACAAGGCTGGTGGACACATAGAGTCCGCCTGAGGGGAGTTGGAAAACCCTCATTCCAAACCAATAGTGCACATGTGATACAGGATCCTGATGGAACAAATGACGTGGGAACCTAATGTTAGTCACCGGCTACCATGGCACTGCATCTCCTTAGGTCGCTTCACCGCCTTGTGGATCAGACCTTTAGGTCGAAGGCTCCGGGTGTGATCCCCTAACAAAACCACTTGCTTCGGTTTGGACACCCGGTCACTATCACAGCCCACACATAAATCAAGCCTCTTCGTACCAATATTTATGTGTTCAAATAAATAATTAATTAAAACACCCTCAACAACTCATATTTTCTCTCGTTTCTGCAAGTACAGACAACCACTTCCAATTAAAACATTCATCACTGTGATCGATTGACAAGACAAATAAAAATCACACTTTAATCGAATTCGTCTTCCAAACGTCTACAAACCTCATCTTGCTACACTGCACCAACTTACTCCAAGGAAACAATCAAATCAGTTGGCCAAATGAATCGAACAAATGCTTCACTACTTACCTTCATCATCAACAAACAATAGTTGACTATAAATAGACATTCGCTTGGGCAACACTAGCAATTACCACACACAACACAATTAATATAACCTCAAAGAGTTTCTAAGCTATCTTTAATAGGCATTGTCTGCACATCTGTTGTGAAATGTGTACAGCTGAAGTTTGCGTTCAGAACAACTTCTGTAAATACTAAAATATGGTAAAAGGATAATGCACCAATGTAGGTGGGAAATACTAGGACAAGGAAGGATCCGATCATCTCATGACACTTTAAACATTGGAATAACAGAAATGTAACTAGACAATAATATTCGTTGTCAACCATTTACAGATAAAATTGTACAATAATATCTATCTGCAAGAATCTAACGGATAATCATCACGTAGTTGAATCGTTTGGCGGACAGTCTATAATACTTAATCAGCTCAATAAGTAACTAGTCGATGCATTTTGTAAATCCTCAAAAATGAACGTGCTTATGTTAAGTGGATCGAAAGTAAGAGAATATGTTGAAAAACTTACACCAATCAGTCAGTAACTATTGGTTTCTATCACAACGTAACACTGACTTCTTATCGCCTAACTACTAGTTAACTGGCTTCTACAGATCATCACAAATCACTCATGATGATGATAAAAGCTGATGATAACACACTCCAACATTGATTCTGCTAACAGGAGTTTGTTCAGCTTTTAACTGAATGCACTATTACATCCCAACATAGTAATATCCGGCGACCAAAACCAGTGCTTCACTGTTGTATCAGAACAAATACCAACCAAATCATCCACTCTCCAGTTAGTATAGCAGACACTTACAGAATAATATTCTTCTAACATTTGATGCATTTGTTCAACTTCTTCTGAACTGATTGTTTTGGCTACAAATTGTCGGTTATACGTGACTAGAAATTTCGATCCAGATTTTCCACGCGTACTATCCCACAATGGTTGGTGTCTGGTGAAAGAGTCCTGAAGTACAAATCAGAAGTAGAAGAACTCTGTATACTAATGACAAATAACCAAATGTAATCTATTTACGAGAACTGTTCGTGATGATCAGTCGAAAATTGGTCACTCTGAGCAAGAATCGACATATTCGACACCTGCAGTAAATACAGTGTTATGGAACTCTGGATTCGTCAACACTATTCCATCTAAAAGTGGATACTTACAATGCTCTAGTTTGGTTGACATTCATCTTGCACCACATAGTGCATAACTAAATGCTAAACAGTGAGAACAGTTTCCTGACTACACTCTATGCAGCGACCACTTGATACAACGACCCACTTACACCAGTGAGTATCTGAATACACACCGAGTACAGTTAACATATAAACCGACGAACACTAGTTGACATTCTGGCCTCTTTCATTAAATGCTTCACCAACGCGTAATGTAGCTCCCATTTAAAAGGCTGTTAATTATCAGAATATATTAAGTAACAAATCATATCACTCTCACCAATTCAGGCTCAATTACTGTTCATTGTGTCTTTATTGTCGAGTGCAAGCATTCACTTATAATTAGCACTCAGTCAACAAATACCAATGGAACCACCAAATTCCTTTACAATCTAACAACAATACTTTTATGATGTTGAACCCAGTTAATTCAATGTTGGACACAACCAATCAATCAATTCTACATTGATATCACCAAATAATACGGCTTATACAAAAGAGCTAGGATGGAAAACGGTACAAGATAATTTTAAAACACATCACATGTTGTACTGTTGATTGATAGAAACACACAACATTCACTCAATAAAAGTAAAAGCTAGAGAATGGGCATGACATTTGAAAACATATGAACGATATTAGGCATTGACAACTACATATTTGCAGCCATATTGTTGGAGAAAGGATAATAAGGCAACTGTTTAATTGTTGCAAGTATTGCCTCCGTAGATAATTATAAATCCATTTCGATCATGAAAATTCATCCACACACTCACACAACTAATAATGCAACTCATGGGCGTGTTCTCCAAATCGAGTGCAGTTATTGTCTGAGTGACTGGTAGGATTCTAATCCTGTGCTCACCCTGGGTGGTGAGCAGATAGAGGTAGTCGAAAAGTTCGTGTATCTAGGTAGCTGCATAAGTGCTAGTGGTGGCGTGAGTGATGAGATCAATACACGTATAGTGAAAGCCAGAGCGGCTCATCCCAATCTGGGCCATCTTCGGCGCCTTCGTGATGTCAGTCTGACTATAAAAGGTCGGATCCACAACGCGTCGGTGAGAGTAGTTCTGCCCTATGTTTGTGAACCCTGGCTTCTCTAAGTTCAGGATGTTAGACGACTCTCTGTGTTTGATCACCGTTGTCTCCGAAGGATTGCTGACATCCAGTGGAAACACCATCTCAGTAATGCAGAGGTTCGGCATCGTGTGTTCGGGCACAGAGACGATAATCCAATTGGTGCCACCATCTTGAAACATCGACTTCGGTGAATTGGACATGTTCTACGGATGTTGTCCCAAATAATTCCACGTCATGCAGTATTTGCCGACACTCGGACTGGTTGGGAAAAGCGCAGAGGTGGTCAGTGTATGACATGATGTCGTGATACGAAAGAAAGCTACAAGGGGATGATGGCTTCTGTTGGTCCTTCTCGACTCCCTAGCTGGGGTCCGAGAGATGGTGCTACACAGTAGCTAGAGACGTTATCATATATGGCTCAGAATAGAAGCCAGTGGCGATCCTGCTGTAACCTTCTTTTACTTTCTTCATAAAAAGTGGTTGTAACTTCCTTAACTGAAAGATTTCTTCTGGCTGTACCTTTCTGTTTCTCCCATTATCATTGTTATTTCACTACCATACACTAATTTGTGGTCGTTATTGTTTTTTTCTTTTTACACGCACCTTACATACTTTATATCTTCCCATTCTCATTGTTATTGTGTGGAGCATATGTATCTGGTGCCCCTTATACCAATATTTATGTGTTCAAAATAATAAATAAATAAATATTGTCTGAGCGATCCAAATACTGAATGACTATGTAAACTATAGTAGATGGTGTGTGGTCTGAACTTACAAATTAGCAGTCAAACACTCTAATTAACTTAGCACAACCACAAACCCACTGTTGCATAGGTATATTTACAGAGAAATGACTGACAATATTATATTACTTTAAAAAGTCAGGACTTAAAACTTAAAAGGTGAAATCAATAAGATGAGGATAGCGGTGTTTGGAGATTCTCCACGTGCAAGATTTATTACAGACTAACAATCAAAGTTGTCGACTAAATCCATCACAAACAAAATGTAATTTCATAACATTAAATACTAGACAAAACTCATTATGTGCAAGTTATGAATCTCTAACACCATTCACAGGTAGAAAGGAGGAGATATTACCATCAACACATAAATCAGCTCCGAATCACCTACCCAATAATCCATCTTGTCAACTCCAAATCGATCTCGTAATGACTTGAACACCATTGGGCAGTACTCCTTAAACTTGAATCTACTAGGCATATTCTCCCTAGAATCACATTCGTCAGCATAAGTCCACCATGAATACAAGAAAACTTACTTGTTAAAGTGGTGGTTATTAACCTTCACTTTCATATATGCTTTGAAATCGTCTTTCAATAACAGTGCACGTTGCTTTACATGATTTAGAGCGGAAAACGAATAATTTATGCCCCACATCAGTACACTTTTTAATGGTTCATTGGCTCGAAAAAGTTTCAACTTCTGTTTCATGATCCTCACTTTCTTGTGTTTAGACACGGTGGCCATTATTCAAAGATGACAAACTTTTGGAACGACAACTTAATGATTTAAACAGATTCTAAAAAGTAAAGGGAATGAACAGGTCAAAAGTCACACGTGCAATGTACTCAACTCTTAATTTATAAAAAGTAGTTTCGGTAAGGGAACTCTTATTGTAAGCTAAAAGGCATATTTCGAAACTGGAAGGGGGGAAGAAAAAGCGGTTGAAAATATTTGAAGACAGATCACATAGAAAGAAAACAAATAATTGAGGCGTTGTGACTAGATACGAGTCTTAAAAATTAGGAAATTTAAACAATAAGCCCTATAATCAGTTGGTTTTACAATAAGCTCTATTTATTGTCCAGGAAATTAGTTTTATAGTATGGATAACAAACACCGTGTCTGATGAAGACTAGTATCAAATGAGATTTGTGTGGCGCGTGTGTATTCGGTGCCCCCTTGTGCCAACATCTGCGTCCAAATAATAATAATAAAGACTAGTAAGTTAAACATAAACCTGTGCAAGCCACTTCAAAAAACGCCATTGACTAAAGCAAATAGTGACCAGGTAGTAACGAAGAATTTCTATCATGCAACATAAAAATCGGTGTCATGGTCATATGACGCTAACAGACTTGGACAGCTTAAGCCCGGTAGACATACATGCAAGCAAACCAAAATTATCATGCTTCGGCGTCTCCTAATACTTACCAGCTTCCCAATAAAAAATCTGTCATATTAGTGTAGGATAACCTTGCATTGGCTAGGAAGGGGAATTTTGTGAGACCTAGAATTTGCAAGCGTTTCACTTTTGAGTACATCCTTCAGTCAAACTCCACTTACTCTAAGACGCAAGTCTGAAACATTTGTTGACTATTACCACAAGTGACTCCAATATTTTAATGGGAAAACTCCTGAAAAAGTAAATCATACATCACACTCCTGAATACGTTTTAATTACAAGAACAGCAAGTTTGTACAGGCCGCTTTACAAACTTAGGTCACTCAGTTCTACATACAGTTCACTTTATTAATGACTACCTAGTCGGCCTTCGATATCACACACATCAAGTTATTCAGCTAATTCAAAGCTTGCACTTCTGTATTTAGTAATAACAGATCACCGATATCTACTGGTAGATACCCAGGTTTATAACTTCACACTTTTCTAATCAGGCACAATTTGTTTCCTAGTCCTTTGGCCCACTTCGCTGCAAGCCTGCAGACGTCTTTCAATAGATTTACATCTCTTCTGAGGAGTAAGGATAAAATATGTCACCACGCGGGCTATTTAAAAAAGGACAGTGGTATTTTTCCTCGCTGAGTAAATTTCATTGTTTTGATTGTTTATTACCTATCAAGACTACTGTTATCACTTTAATTGAATTCATGTCAGTTGAAGTAGTCGACTAGAGTACAGTTTTTACCTTTCTTTCAATTAGTTTTGTCGTTGGTACTCTTGAGTACCTCATTTTCAACTGTATCTGTTAGTACTTTTGGTCCTAACAATCTACAGTTCTTCACTTGGTCATTGATTTTTTTTTGTTTCTGAGCATCATCGCATCTCGTTCCTTTTTTAAAAAACTTTTAAATGACCAGACAGTGTAAAAAGAAGCAGTTGTCAACGTCCGGGTTGTCGTTATCCCGTTGAAAGCGGCATGCAGTGCGACGAGTGCAAAGGCTGGTACCACGAAGTTTGCACGAACTTAACGCCTGCGGCTTTCAAACGGTTCAGTAATAAGGGTTGTGTATGGCTTTGTCAACGGTGCTGTTCGGATACAAACAGCCTGTTAACCGAGGCCATCTCACTGGTTGATGCTGCAAAGAAGTGTTTTAGCAAGCGTAGTCGGAACGCGTCAAACAGCACTCGATCTGTCGACACGCAAATCGACATGCAGCAAACTAATGTTAGTTCGATAATGGATGACTCACGCCGGTCAAAGAAGGAAAAGCAGTTTCCAAAGGGGCTTGCCTTAAGCAAAAGCTCAAGGAAAGTAGGTTCTTCTGCTCCCCGTCTCCCAGATGCGATCCAACAAGAAACGCTTAGAAGCCGCAAACGCAAGGTTCGATCGGTTTCAAGCGGTAAACATAACCTGACCTTTCAGGTCGTCGACAACCCCCCAGATCCAACACTAGGTTTGATGCAACTATTGTTGCTTCTTCCAGCACCGTTGACGGATGGGCTTAGGTTGTAAGGAAGAAAAAATGTATCGATATAAAAGGTAATCCTATCCCCGCGAAAGTAGTCATAAAATCGAAAGCTGATCATAGCGACAGATCAGCTATTTTTCATAGAATCAAGGAGAGCGAGAGCTCTGAACCTAAAGCTCGTTTCGAGCATGACATTGTGCTGATTAAGCAGCTGCTTAATCAACTCATGCCTCAAAACATCACCGTGGTCACCTTGCCAAAGGTGTACAGACTAGGGAGTCTAGCGGACATGAAACCAAATCATTCCAGACTGCTTAAAGTACTACTCAACACTTCGAACGAACGTGACTTAATTTTACAGAATGGACACAAATTAAAGGTTTTAGGAGTCTTTATCCGAAAGGACTTACCGTTGGCAGACCGTGTAAAATGACGGAAAGCCGAAAAAGAACTACAACATAGGTTAGACGCTGGCGAAAAGAACCTGAAAATTGTAAATTTTCGGGTTGTAAGGCTTCGACGGAGAATGATGTCGAAGCCACTCTGGGTGAACCACGAAGCCACTTAAATACGCTTCGGATTTTTTACACTAATGCCCGAAGCTTACTCAATAAGCGATCGTAACTAGGTGTACAGATTGACTCTACAAAGCCAGATATAATCGCAGTTACAGAAACCTGGCTGACACAGGCTATAGATAGTATGGAACTTGATTTCGAGGGTTTTACGTTAGTAAGAGCCGACAGAATACAAAAGCGTAAAGGAGGGGGAGTAGCAATATTCATTAGAAATGCTATCCCATTTGCCATTATCGGCAGTGTATCCCATGAGAGTGGGACGTGTGAATTAGTTAGTCACCGCTTGAAATGCAAGGGACAAGAGCTGCTGATTGATTTGGTCTAACGCAGTCCAAGCTGTGAGGTAAATGAAGTCCTGCTAAGCAGTCTCAATACTTGATCACAAAGTGCTCGATGTCTTATCCTAGGGGACTTTAATCCACCTATGGTAGACAGGAAAAATCTGCGGAATGAATCGTTAGAAAATTCCTTCAAGCAGGAACTAGTTGATGCGGTTATCACATGTGCTCTAGTGCAACATGTGAAAGAAGCGACTAGGTACGACCCGGACACTGAATCATCCTTACTAGATCTGATACTCACTCACTATGTGGATGGCGTTGCGAACGTTCATTATATGTCATCCCTAGGTAGAAGTGATCACACAGTTTTAATTTTCGACTTCCATAAAACTGTTGGTCACGAGCACGCATCAGCCCAATCCAGACCGAACGTCTGGAAAGTAAATATACCAGATATCATGCACTCAGCATCGTTAGTAGATTGGACAATAGACACAGAGTCCTCAGTTGAAACGGCCTGGAACGCATTTCGAAATTCATACTTAAAAGTTACCACACCCCACATCTCTTGGACTATACCAAGGGGGCCGAGAAACTCCCCACTATGTTTCAGTAGGGAGGTCCGCACCCTCCTCTGTAAGAGAAGGAAAATGTGGGATAGATTTAGGTTACTGGGGACTGATGAAACTAAATCCCAGTATAGAAAAGTCCGGAATACCTGAGCCTCGACCCTCTGTAAGTCTGGAAAGTTTTACGAAGAAAAGATTGTTGAGAAATCCATAGAATGTCCTAAACGCTTGTATTCTTATATAAACCAAAGGACAAAGAGAAGAGGCAATACTGCCGCATCACTAGTGGAGGACGACTTTGGTAAGGCTCAAGTGTTCTCAAACTACTTTAGCAATGTATACACCATAGAAGCACCCTTCCCATCAGCGCATACAGATCCCCCCACACATACACTGGATAGCGTGACCATTAAAGAACTCGATGTCTTTGGTCTACTAAATAAGCTTGACATAGGTAAATCCACGGGGCCCGATGAATTACATCCTAGGCTACTGAAGGAATTATCTAACTTCGTTGCAAGCCCTTTAAGTACATGCTTTAACCTATCCGTTACGCAAGGTCGTTTGCCAGAAGACTGGAAAAACGCCATAGTAAGTCCTGTCTTCAAAACAGGTACGAAACACAAACCTGAGAATTACCGAACAGTTAGCTTAACCAGTGTGGTTGTTAAAATCTTAGAAAAGATTATTCGGAAGGAGCTGTTTAATTACCTCGATGAAAACCGCATCCTTTCGGAGAAGCAGCACGGTTTCAGAATAGGTTATTCTTGTCTCACTAACTTATTAGTCGCTCGTGAAAGCTGGTGCGCTCTTAAGGACCAAAAGCTACCTGTAGACGTAGCCTTCATTGATTTCAGCAAAGCTTTTGACAAGGTTCCGCACAACCGGCTGTTATATAAGTTAAGAAATGTCGGGATTGAAGGCAATCTATTTATGTAAATAAAAGACTTCCTAGTTGGGCGTCAGAAAGAGTACGAGTGAATTCAAAGTTGTCTAGCTGGGAAACTGTGCTTAGTGGAGTGCCCCAGGGTACAGTTTTGAGGCCAGTGCTATTCCTCTTGTATGTAAATGACCTTCCTTGTCTCCTATCATCATCGGTCTTGCTATATGCTGACGATGTCAAGATATGAAGAACGATACGATGTAAGAGTGATAGCTTAGAACTTCAAAATGACCTGAAGAAGTTATCTGATTGGTCTCAAACATGGCAGTTGGCGACAAATACTTCCAAGTGTGTTGTGATGCATATCGGTCATCAAGCTACAGATACATACACGATGAATAACACTGAGCTACCTGTCGTCCAGACATATAATGACTTAGGAGTCATCTTTAGCTAAGACTTAAAGACTACTGCACACTGCTGTGCAATAGCCGCCAAAGGTTTTAGAACTTTATGATCAATACGTAGAGCTTTTAGTCATGTCGACGCTAAAACGTTTTTGACTTTGTATACAGTGTTCGTCCTAAACTTGAGTACTACATACAAGCGGCCAGCCCCTGCTTTAAAAAGACAGTGAGCTTCTGGAAAAGGTTCAGAGAACGGCAACTAAGCTGATTCCCGGAATAGCGAAGCTTCCGTATGAATCTCGACTGGCCAAGCTGAACCTTTTCCCGTTATCATATCGCAGAACTAGAGGCGACTCGATTACAGTCTACAAATTGCTTAGTGATAAATTTGCACCTGATATGCCCTCATTTTTCTTGTCTTCCAAAACAGAGAATTTACGAGGACACTCCAAAAAAGTTCATAAGCCGAGAACAAATTACTTGTCAGCTGACTATCGACTTTCCCATCGAATCATCAACGAGTTGAACTCATTACCTCAGCACGTGGTTGAGGCTCCATCCGTCGACTCTTTCAAAAGAAAGTTGGATCAACTGAGAGACCACCATTGCCAGGACTAACACAGCCCATCAGGCCTCCTGTCCTTCCCAAACTGAGACTGAAACTGGATATCCAGTGCTTGGCGGCGCCGTTGTCTGTAACAGTTATAATCGAGGACCTCAAACCCAGTCAAACCAGAAGTCCGCATTATTATTATTATTATTCAAAAACATCTTCTGGGTACATAAGTGTTGTGAAAAAACCATTTCGGGTTTCTTCAAAAAATGCAATAATACACAATTTTCAATAATGTCAGCATTATACTTGCCATTTAAAAAAAAATTAGAGCAATAATAGTAGAATATTAATAATAATAAATCGGGTCTGTGCAATGGAGAAGAATATTGAATTGAGTTTAAAGAAGGAAATGGAGAAAATAAGGGAATAGAAATAAAGGAGACGTGAAATACGCAAACAGTCTAATAGGCGTGTTTATGAACACAGAACAAGAATAAACGACTATGTGTGTATCGTTAAATTAGTAACAAAAATAATTAGAAAAAAACTTATAATTGCAGTAAGATATGACGCTAGAA